CTCCTGTGACCCGGTGGGCGCTGGGCTGCGACTGGGCCCCTGCGTGAGGGCCGCTGGAAAGCAGCGGGTATCGGAGGGGCCTTGGCAGTTCCCTGGGTTAATCCAGGGACTGAGGTCAGGCCTCTGATCCCCTGCTTTCTCCTTGCGACTAGAGAGGGGTTCGGATAGTGCTGCTGGGTCTAGGTTGGGGGGGTAGCCAGGAATTGAAGGGAGGCCTGAAGCTGCAGCTCCAGGTCATTGGGGCAGCGCCAGGTGGTGGTGGAGTCCCCTCCCTGCACCCCTGGGTTTAACATAATAGCATCCTCCTAATCTCTGACAGGCATTCTGTGCTTTGTCTTACTTCACTCCCAGCCCCAAAACTAGGGGTCTTAGATCCTATTTCACGGAAGGGGAAACTGAGGCCCAGAGAGGGTAAGTGGCTCACTGTGGTCATGCAGCCGATTAGAGTTATGCCCACTGAGTGAGCCACAGATGCATTAGCCACCGGCACAGGCCTAGTAGGAACTCAGCACAAGTAATCAGTTACACAGCCTCCTGTCACTGACATTACCTTGGGCCTAGTACCGTCCAAAACTGATAGAGCTCCTCACTCCTGAATCTTTTTCCAGGGGTTCTTTGGAGATTGGGTCCCCGTTTTGTGGCTCTGACCCTCACTTTGTACCTTGGAGTCCCAGAGCTCCCCAAAATAGCTGTCTCCCAGCTGTTTTGACCGCAGAGAAGTGAGTCATTGGCCGCATCAGGGTGTCTCTAGGGCTGATGTTGAGGTGGGGTGGGGGGTGTGAATTTGGCCCTTCATCACCTCCCCAACCCCCAGAGTTGTCAGATAGGACATGACCTGGCCTAGTGCTGGTGATTATAAGACTTGTGCTGCCCCTCTCTGCTCACCGAGAGGGGCATAAGAAAGGGTAGAAGACAGCTTCTGACTTCCTAAGTGTGTGGGCCTAGGGGCTGAATGGGCTTTGCTCAAGGATGGGCTGGGGTAGAGGTGGCTTGGGGCTCAAGTGCTATTCTGGGCACAGCTGCTGCAGTTATTAAAGGGAATGGTTCTCCCTGGAGCAGGGCTGGGAATGTGAGAACCAGGAAGCTGGCAGGGCTGGGAAAGAAAATCCGGGAGACTCCCCAGTGGTCATGAGAAGGGCGGGCACTGGCTGGCTGTTGCTGCTACTCTTGGCTCTGTCACTGACTTGCTGTGTGACCTCGGGCAGGCAGGTTTCCCCCCACCCCAGCCTTCTTACCTCAATCTGTCTGTAATTTGAGGAGGCCCAGAGCAGGCTCTGGTACACAGTGGGTGCTCTGGTAAGTGCAGGATGAATTTTGGTGTCAGGAAGCCCAGACCTTTTTTGTAGCTGGGCAGAAGGGGGTCTGAGGGTAGCAGTGACTGGATCAAGGTCTGACTCATGTCTGACCTCCCTTCCTCTCCTGCATAATGAGTACACTGGGGGACTATTTGCACTGAGGTTTCTCTATGTATACTCTGGACTGGATGCTCAATGACCTGGGGCTAGTCCTGCCCGGAGAGACTGATGTCCTCTGATCCTCAGGTTGTGAAATGGACTGGGTGAATATCATAGTCCCTGAAACAGCTCTTAACTTCTTCACCTCAATGAAGTAGCAGGTCCTTGGAAAGGGGGGGCTCTTCATCAAGGCCCCAATCGTCCCTTCCTTCAGGAAGGGCCAAACTTTCTGGATTTTTTGTAACTGAGTCACTACCTCCTCCCTGTGGCTACAGATGGGTTGGGATATGTGGCTTGTGCTGGGCAGGTACTAGTTGGGATGGCCCAACCTTTCATAATCCCCCCAGATCTTCCACCAGGGAAGCCAGCACCCAGGGAGCACTTCCTTCTGGAGCCCACTGTGGGTGTGCAAATGTGGAAATACTCTCAGGATATGGAGTTTAGGGAATTCTGTGGCAGGTGTGAAAACATTCCCAGGGAATGAGAGAAGTAGCCACTGCACATAAATATCCCAGGTGGGTTTAACAGTAAGAGTAGAATGCCTTCAGGGAATGGAAGTACGGATATGCTCCCAGGGAGTTCTATACGCAGTGTGACACGGAAGGTGACAAGTGTCCGGGTAGCAAAATTATTGATCATCTTCAGGGGACAGATGTGGAGGGTCAAGCTTTAGAGACACCCAGACCCCCTCCCCCCAGGCCAGGTATAGACCTGAGGTAGGCGGAGGTGGGGAGAGGAGCAGGTCTAGAACCACCTCCTTGGTGCCTGTGTTCCTGACGCAGGTCTCCTTCCTCATCTTCACCCAGGGACGGGCGGACTGAGGCCTTCGATCCTGGTCTAACCCTCAGCGCTGATCCTTAAGGGCTCCTGGGGCATCCTAGTTCCCTCCCTTCCCCAACACCTCCCCCTGACTAGTTGTCTCCCTGGGGCCAGACAACCTGTTCCTCCTCCTAGCCAGGGATGCTGGCCTTGAACGGGGGCTTGGGAGTAAGGGGCAAGAAGGGGGGGAGGGCCAGTGGGAACAGGATCTTCCGAGCTCATTTCACAGACGGAATTGAGGTCTGTGCAGTCATATGGAACCAGTTCTGTGAGATTTTTGCTAGCCAGCACTTTTCAAGCCATGCAGGCTCGAATAGTGGTGGTTAATCTCTGGGCTCAAGCAGTGCTGTTTGGGAAATCATGATGAACACCAAGGTCCTTCTTCCCAGAAAAATACACATGGACCACGGCCCTTGCCCACCAAGTTAAAAATGCCTAATTCAGACAGACACCCAGCAAAGGCAATGGAATATAGTGATTATGGATGCTGCCTCTGGCATCTGACTGCATGGCTTCAAATCCTACCTCTGTGTGTTATGAGCTGTGAAACGTTGGGCAAGTTACTTTACTTCTCTGAGTCTCAATTTCTTCACCTGTAAAAGAGGGATAATAATCATACCCCACTTCCTAGAGTGGTTGTGAGGATTACATGAGGTAATATAAAGTGCTTAGTGCAGGGCCTGGCACATGAGTGTTAGCAATATTATGACGATGATAAATAATCACAACACTGGGCGATTTCCTCCTTGCTTGGAGAACTCCTGTTTACCCTTCAAGCTCCAGCTTGGATGCCCAGTCCTCTGGAGACCCTCCTTGACAGTCCGTCATGCATGCCACTCTTCCCATGTCCCCAGAGCATGCAGGAATATTAATGAGAACTAGGCTTACCCTGCCCAGGTACTGTGCTAAGCTCTTTGTGTTTGGCTCCTGTCATTCTTATTAGAGCCCAGAGGAGGGGACTGTTTTCATTTCCATTTGACAGATGAGGAAACTAAAGCCCAGATAAGTTAAATCACTTCCTAAGGTCACACAGCAAACAGAAGCCTGAGCGGGCTGACCTACCGGGAAGCACCCCCACGTCTTCCCCGCCCCTCCCTGCTGTCCTCTGACCTGGTCGGGGGCTGGCGTGGCACCCAGCCGGGAGTGGGGTGCGCCTCGGTCCGGCGGCTCTGACCCTCTCCCGCCCTCAGGTCTCCGCGCTGCTGAGCCGCTTCGCCCTGCCGCCATGTTCCGGCGCCTCGCCAGCCTCCTCTTCAGCGCGCCCCCGCCCCCGCCGCCCGGGGGCCCCGACTGCGCCCGCGCGTTCGTGGCCGCGGAGGAAGAAGTGGACGGCTGGCTCTTCATCGACCTGCCGGGTGAGGCCTGGGTGGCGGCCAGGACCCTGCCTCGGGGCGGGCGGCACGGGGAAAGGGCGCTGCCAGGGGGCTGGGGCGTTCCCGCAGGCTACTGGGCTGCGCGGGGCTCAGGCGCTGACGGCCGCGGCGGGGTAACTGGATCCCATCCCACGCAAGCCACGGCCGTTTCCCCGGGCTCGCAGTGTTGGGGCCCACACCGCACGTACCCTAGCGAGGCTCCTGGCCAGTGGGTGCCCCGCGGGCGCGACGCGCAGAGCTGCGGGTCTAACGATGCACTTTCTCTCCCCGCCCCCCTGTGTCCTGTGTGTGTGTGTGTGCGCGCTTGTGTCTGTGTCTCAGGGGTAGTGAGCGCAAAGGCCCAGAGCAGGAAGCCTGGAAAGCCTAGGTAGGTGTGTCTGGCCCCTGAGGTATTACCTGTTCTCTAACCTCTTTTGTTGAAATATTAAGGATAAATCTACAACAAGGATCAGACTAATGAAAATACAGTGTGCTCCTAAAAGTAACCCTAAAGGGAGATATTTAAATGTAATGCAGTGCTGTCATTTATTGAGCAGCTACTTTGTACCAGTCATTACTGTAGATGATTTACTCATGTAACCTGTTTTTCTTTCAACATCCCTGTGTGAGATTTTGTTGTCCTGCATCAGAGGGATCTCTTCAAGTTCAGGGTGAGGGTTTCTTGCTTTAAGCAGGAAAGTCTAGGAGAGACACTGTCCCAGTCACAGTGCAGTCAGATACCAGCTAAAGAGTGGTGGCTTCTGGTCTGTCATCTTCAGCAGTTCAGTCATTTTACCCCAAGGCTTAGCTTTTCATTTCAGTGCTTCAGATTTCCTGTCAGCATGTGTGAGCCTGTTAGGGGTTGGGGTGTGTGTGTTGGGGGAGGTGTTGGAGTTGGAGGCAGTTTTGCCCACATTTGATTGAATCAGCCCAGAGCCAGACAGGCCAAGAAGCAGCAGCTGATCTCCATTCATTCTGGGTCACAGAACCTGAGACTGGTTTTGAGTCATACAGAGAGTGTGGTTATGGACCTGGTGCCATTGGTAGCTTAATCATCATGAATAAGGGGCATAGAAAATGATGGCAGGTGACAGTTTAGTTGGAATTGGTGGTCAATTATGTTACCTGATAGAGTAAGTCAAAGTAAGTCTTTTAACCCCTAAAGCATCCTAAATGCCCAGCTTATACTAAGAAAAAGCTCCCTCCTTGACTATCTGACTACAGTTCTCTCTCTTCTCTGCCATGACCTTTCACCTTTGTGTCTCAGGTCGTTATTTGTTCACTCAACAGGTGTTTGCTGAATTACCTAGAACTGTGTTAGGTGACGATGCCCTTGTGAATACTTATGAATACGATCATTGCCATTCCTGATCCCTAAAACCCTTGGCCTAGCAGTTAGGCCAACTGGAAATAGTGTGACAGTGCTTCCCTGGGGGAAGTGTATGACTCTAGGTGGACAAGAGCTGGGCCCTAACCCCCGTCTCACAGACAGCAGGTGCTGGGACCTGCTCATTGAGCAGAGCTTCTCTTCCCGGTGCCTGCTTCTCTTCACGTCCCCCTTCCCCACCCACCTCGTGCTTGGATACTCCAGTAGGGAAGACCCGTGTCCTGCCTGCCTTCTCCCCTGAATGAGAACCCAAGCCAGGTCCCAGGGGGAGATCAGAACGGAGCTGGCAGACACATCACCTTCCACTCAAGTTCTGCTTTCAGTGGGAGCACCTTGGCGTCCATCAGATCCAAACTTCAAGGACCAAATAGTTAGACTGCGAAATGATTTTGGAGGTTGGTCTTCACAGCTTAGCAAACATTCATTGAGAATCTACTGTGTGTCCAGGAGAGAATAGTTACTATATAGTGAGAAGTGACAGTGACAAAACTGAGGCCTAAGAGGTCCTCATAGGCTCCTGTTAGCTCCTGCTTTTTTCCTGCTTTAACTGATGTACTTTGATGAATCTTCCAGGATTCTGCTAGGAAGGAACATGAGTGATACAAAGGGGAATCCTTTTAGGACTATGAAAGGCTATGTTGGAGAACTGACCCGTGCCGAGCTGTGTGAGTGTGCCCCTGTGAGTGTGCTCAAGTGTGTGACTCATTTCTTCTGTCTTTCCTCTAATGCCTTTGCCCGTGGTCTGGTTCCTTGCCTGTACTTGGTAAAATCTGCAGTTTATCTTTGACTTTGATCTTTTCTCGAGGCCATGATGCATTTTAATTTAGGTACAAAGTTGACTAGGTTCCAAGTTCTTCAAGGATGGGAAACTGCCTAATTTTTCTCTGCATCCCAGCCACCCTCTGTACAGTGCATGGATGGTCTGGGGAAAATGCTTCTCCTTTGGCTGTGTATGTTACATACCGAGATCCTTGCTACCTGGGACAATACATCTGCTCCTGCTTTCAGTGGACTCTGTCAGGTGGTCAGTGTCCATCCTTCTTCCCCTGAGCCTACTTATGATAGTCAGGTTTGTGTTTACAAATGGATCACTTGTCAAATGGAATCCATTTTCCTTTGTCCTAAGAGATAGGCCCATAAGCTGTTGAGATCTGCCTTAAGTGTGTGCAGATCCTGGGTCAGGTTTGTTTCTGTACCTTATTTGTGCTATTTACTTGGCTCTAATTAATTCCTTTTACATTGGATTTTTTAAAAAATGCTTAATTGGTATTTTCAGAGAGAGAGGAAGGGGAAGGAATAGAGAGATAGAACAATAGTTGAGAAACATCATAGATTGGCTGCCTCTTGCATGCCCCCTACTAGAGATCGAGCCCAAAACCTGGGAATGTGTCCTGACTAGGAATTGAACTGTGACCTCTTGGTTCCTGGGTTGGTGCTCAACCACTGAGCCACACCAGCCGGGCTACATTGGATCTTCTGTTAACTGGGAGCACCAGAGCGCTTGGCAGTGGGTGCTCCTTTCCTCTGCAGTCACTATGTTACCATTTTACTTCATTGTTTACTTGCATGGATGCAGCCCTGGCCATAGGCTGTAATTAGAAATAGGTAGGTGGAAGAGAGCAGGTGGATTTGAGGCGGCTTTGGGCACTCACTGATGAAGTTGAGGTGAGCTCCTTTCCGGGGCTGGGAGTAGGGCTCAGAGAGGGATTAGGAGTATGTTTTCCTTTCTATGAACACTTCTCCATAACTTCTCTTCCCAAATGACCTACTGTTTGATGGAGACCTTTCCCTTTTCTCTCCGAACAAGTAGAGACACAATGGAGAAATTATGATTGTTATCATCAAGAGAGTGTGGAGAAGGCATAAATGGGGTGGGGGTTGGTGGTGGGGAGAGGTTATTAGCTTAAGTGATATAAATGTTTACTAGTGTTAGGTGGAATTTGAGAGGATAGGAACTGAGTCTTGCCACAAACTTGGGAACACAGCAGCGCTCTCCAGAGACCTGTCCCACAGGGCCGTTGTGAGGGTCTGTAAAACACTATATAGACTGTAGTTTTTAACTGCTTTTTTTCTAAAAGAATATTTCTTGAACTTTTGATGCATGTGTGTAGGGCAACAAAACCAGGCCATTGCTTAATTTTGTACAGTTTATAAGGAACAGTGAGCAGAGGGATGGTATCACATGTATCTGGAGTTGTTAAAATGCAACATGTCTTTGTCTTAAGGGACTTTAATTAAAATCCCACCAGGTGGCAATGCCCCTATATGAAATTAGACCTCAGGTGAATGGCTCTTAGTCAAGTTCCATGACACCTGTTTCCCCAAATTATTGCATCATCGCTATGTGCCAGGCTGTTTTCACACGTAATCACATTAACTCTTTTAAGCAACTCTGCAAAACAGGTGTTATCATTCTCATTTTACAGAGAGTAAACTGAGACTCAGATTCAGTAACTTACCCACAGCCACCTTCTACCACACGTGGAAGTGGAAGAGCTCACGTCCAAACCCAAGGCTCGTGGTTTTTAGTACCCAATCCTGCTGAGTTCCAACATTGTCACTTAGTAGAGATCTGTGTATACCAAAAACTTGAAATGTGTCCCCAAATCCTTATGTGATAAAGCATCAAGAAGGATTTTGATAGCTCTTTCCCCATCTGTAAAGTGGGGATAGTAACACTCCCTGGGCTGTGAAGATGAAAAGTGACCATGTGTATGAAGTCCCTGCGCTGGGCATGGCACACAGGGGCAGCTCCGCATATTTAGTTGCCTTTTCAACATCTTTGCTCTCATCCCTCCTACCCTCCCCCCTGCACTCTCTTCAGGCCTGAACCCATCTCTTTCTCACTGAGCAGCTTTCTTATTTCCCCTCCTCCCGCCCCTGTCCACCTGCCTCCTCCTACCCTGGTCTCAAGCTCGGGTCCATGCTGGCTAGATGACACCTAATCATGGTATAGTCCTAGATTAGATTGACCGCAGTCCAGTGGCTGGCAGGAAGCTCCAGGTCTCAAGCTTAGTTGGGTGTTTGTTTTGGGAGAAGATATAACAAGGAAAACAAAGAAGGTCCTTGAATGAAACCCCAAACCATAGGAGCACCTGCAGGGACACTGGACTGCAGCCCGGTTACCAAGAACCTGGACGGTTGTGCGAAGGAGCCTGAACTTTATTTAATCATACTCAGTTGAGGAGTAATTGAGGGTGAGTCTGTTAGCTTATTTGCTTATTTGTTTTTAACCGACCTCAAAAGGAGGAAAAATCACTCATAATTCTTTCACATATTCAAATCCATTGCTTTTGTTCATTTCATATTCCTTACTGGGTCTCACTCAACTGCTTACCTGCTTTTTACAAAATGAGATCTGTTTTTTCCTTAATATCGTTTAAACATTTTTCATGTTGCTGCTTGATCTTTATAATTATCATTTTTAATGGCTGCCTAATGGTTCAATTATTATGCCATAATTTACTTAAAGAAGTGTGGTAGAGTGAAAAGACTGGGAGTTTAAAGTCAAGTGGACCTGGTTCAAATCCTGACTCTGATTTACCGTCTGAGTGATCTTGAACAAAACGTCACTCTGAGCATTAATTTTCTCATTTATAAAATGGGTTGATCACACACGCCTACCTTACAGGGCCATTGTGAGAATTACCTCAAATTAGATGAGTTGTGGATTATGCCCTGTGGAAGGCTCTTGCTCAATGAATGGTAGCTGCCCATTTATAATCTTTAGTGTTTGGTTGAGTTTGATATTCTAGAAAGAAGGTAGGTAGCAATGTGGAGGCTGAGTAGATGGGGAGAGGAGAGAGTCAGGGAACCAGTTTGAGGGCACTAGACCTGCGCTGTCCAGTACCACAGCTGCAAGCACCTGAAACGTGGCTGCTCTGAACTGGGATGTGTAGTAAATATAAAATAAACAATACATTTAGAAGACTTAGTATAAAACAAAATATAGGACACCTCATTAACAATTTTTATATTGATTACATTGTTGAAATGATAATATTTTAGATGTATTGTGTTAAAAGATATTAACATTATTTTCTCTTGTGCTTTAAATGTGGCTACTAGAAAATTTTAAATTATATATGTAATTTGCATTGTATTTCTATTGCATTGCGTTTCTCTGGCTGCTGACACCAGAGTCAGCAGCCACATGACTGATCCGATCCTAGAGTGGGGAGTCGGGGAAACCAGGAGACAGGGTTGAATCCCAGTGTGGGCAGCTGAGTGGGAGGTGAGTGTCAACTTGGTTTTAGGGAAGATGAGAGTAAATTGGTTATAGTATATGTTTTTATAGGCAGGTCATTAGTGGGTATTCTCTGAGCAGTGAAATGAAAGGTAGGCAGTTGGTCTAGACCAGATTATCTGTCCCTGCTTCAAGTGCTGGCCCTCCTGACTCTCACCACATCGCGCACATTGGAGGTGAGATAACTGACCAGAGTGCTCGCCGCGGGGAAGGCTGGGAAGAGCCTGGCTGCTCTGCTCCAGGCAGTGGAGCACCAGGTGTTCCCACTGGCTCCTGTGTGGGGCACTCCTGTCTAACACATGCAACATGCTGGGGTCAAAACAGTGGGAACAGTCTACAAAGAAAAAAAGAAGTTGGAGGGGGAGGCGTCTTCTGCAGGGAGGGTAGGTGCTGCCAGCCCTGTGAGACCCTGCTCACTTGTATGTAGTCCTCTACTCTGGCTTGGAGTTCTCAGGGAGGAGGCATTGCTGCTTTTACGGGTCCCTGAGGGATGTAAATGGAGATGGTGCTGAGGCAGGTTTCTGGGTGGCCTTTCAGATTACCAAATGGTATTTAGGTTTCAGAGCCAGGAATCAAATTGTGCCTGGCTCCTGAGAATCCACTGTACTACCTCCTGTAGGACTGGTTGAGTATAGGGCCTTAAACTCAAGATAACTTTCATATGCTCTCCTACAGTTGGTTCCCCCTGGGTTGGGCTTAGGAAATCACAGATTTATGATGCATCCCAGTGAGGTAAAAGCAAGGAAAGTGGAATATATCATGTTTGGAAGGCAAAATACAAGTTACAGCAAGCACCAGTATCTGCCTTGGTTTGAGCAGTTCTATCTGACCACAGGACAGGTGGATAACAGAAGGCCTCTGTAACAGACACTGGCGTCGCTAAGGCAGGGGTACTCTCTTTTTGCTAACGTCACTTCCACCCATTTGATCCCTAATGGTAGTTGTCAGTTGGGTAGAGTTTTAAGCTCCTGGTCAGCGGTAGTAAAACTATAGGAACATGTATATGATTTGTTCATTCCAAAACCATTCCTTGAGCTCTTCCTATGTACTAGACACCATGGGGTTAAAATTTCAGCTGTGGTAGAATATATGAAAGTTTTTGTAGCTTTGCTTTTCTATCTTGTTCTTAAATTTGTGATTTTTAGCCACAGAACGAATAGCTTTGTTTCACAACTTAGGAAACTGATTCTTTATTCTTTGAGGAATTCTTTAGTATCTCGGTTACCAGTTTTACTTTTTCTGAGGAGTTGGGAGAAATGTGCTTCATTCCCTCCCCACATATTTTGCTCTCTTCCCCTTTTGAGCCCTGGGAAAAGGTCACCTCTGACCTCAGGGAACCCCAAGTCTCACTTCAGGTAGATGTACTCATGAGGAGGCTTCGTCCACTAGGCAGCCCACTCTCAATGCAAAGAGGCCCCTATGCCCTTAGTTTAGGCGAGACAGACCACAGCTCTCCCATCTTTTCAGCTCCAGGTCAGCCAGGGGAGGAAAGGGCCCAACCTGGCGGGCTGGTGCAGTCTTCTGCCCCTCCAGGCATTTATTTCTAAAGTGGTTTCATCCCATTTCAACACCTGTGACTTCAGGGCAACTGTAAAGAGCTGGGAATTGGCCATGGGCCTGACACCTGGGGAGGTAGGTGTCCCTGGCTTTTGTGACCTTACATTGACTGGGATTAGAGATGGGTGATATTGGGACACCTGGGCATAGGTGGCTGAATAAACATGAAGGTTTCTGTGCTCCAGGGCCCTGATGGGCCATACCCACCTGCCATACTCTTACACATGTGCACAGTAGAGCCCATGCACAGCTGCACACACACAGTGCCATGCGCTCCATCCCGAGCCAGTGTGTTCCCCACTCTGCTCTCCTGGGAGCTCCCCCTTCTTCCCTGTCTCCAGCAGCCTCAACCCCCAGACCAACACGCCATCACTGTCCTCACTCCTGACCCCCCAAATGCAGCTTTTCTGCCAGCCCAGGCCTCTCCAGATTACTGCTCTCTGCAGACCTGGTCCTTTTGAAAGGAAGAAAGAAAGAAAAGGGGAGGAAAACAGAAAGAAAGAGGGAAACAGAAGAATGAAACCGGACCGAAGGGCAGTGGTGCCTGAGCTATCTCACTGCATTACAATGAATATGGACTCTATTAAGCTCCGTTCTGCCTGTTAGTGTTTCCCGGGGCAACACAGCCCCCATATGGCAAGCATGCAGCAGATTAGGGCAGGCCCCTGGGCCTCATTGAAGGCCAGAGGCTTGACTGGCAGTTGAACCCCCTTCCCACCTCCCCCTACTCCTCACACTTGACACTGCCTGTGTTTATCTAAAGCAAGGAGGGGGGGCCATTTGGAAGGTTTTTGTCCGTCTCTAAGAGAAGGGGAGAGGAGGCTAGAGGCTGGGTGGGGAGAGGGAAGCTGAGCTGGGAAGGTGGTGGAGGTGGGTGGAAAGGGGGCAGGCAGCAGGGAAGGCTTCATAAATATTCAAGAGGAGTGGTGAATGGAGAGAGAAATAAAGCAGATGGAATTCGTGTTAAAGAACAGCACAATCACTCTGTTTTGANACTGCAGACGGGCCCGGCCTCGGGCCCGCGCGCCTGCAGAGCAGCCCGCTGGAGGACCTCCTCATCGAGCACCCCAGCATGTCCGTGTACGTCACCGGCAGCACCATAGTGCTGGAGCCTGGACCCCCTTCCCCGCACCCCGACGCGGATCCGCCAGGCGGCGACCTGAGCGAAGGGTGAGCGGCCGGCGGAGCGCGGNGCCGGCGGAGCGCGGGGTCCTGGGGGGAAGGCATCCCTCCGGGCCGGGGGCGGGCGGGAAGCTCCGGGAGGGAGCCCGGGCACCCCACCCCTACCCCGGGCACTCGGGGGGCGCGGCCTTTAGAGGAGAGTCTGCGAGGCCAAGGGTCAGGCCTAGGCGCCCCGGACTAAGGGGGTCCGCCTGGGGGCCCAGGGGCGGGGCCTGAGCTAGGGAGAGGCGGGGCTGAGTCTACACAGACTGAGGGGTCGAAGGAGCGCGGACGGAACATCTGGGGGTGCAGCTCCCAGTGGCGCGTAAGGAAGGCAGGGGCCGGATTAGAGGTGGGGTCGAGCCCTCCCCGGATCCGGTTTTTACCTGTCCCGGGCTAGAACCGAGGAGCTATCTCCAGGTTGGCCTGGAGGCAGGGCTGGCACCCTAGAGACGGGCGTTGGGCGCCCCCCTCTGAACGGAGACAGCGCTGCGCCGGGACGCGGGAGCCGGGACCCGGCGGGAAGTGCTCGTGCCCGCCTCCGCTCCGCGCGGGCCTGGAGCTGACCATGCCCCGCTCTGTTCCCGCAGGGAGCTGGCGCCCGTCCTG